GAGAAGGACACCATGCTTGGAAGGGTAGTGGGACAGTGCAGGAGAGGAAGACCCTCGATGAGATGGATTGATTCAGTGACTGAGGTAGTGGGGGTAGGTGTGTCAGAGACAGTAAGATTGGCACAGGATAGAGCAGGATTTACGTCTATTGTACATAGGGTTGTTATGAGTCTCAGGTGACTCAATGGCACATAACAATAACAGTACACATTTATTTTTATTCCTTTTAAATTTTAAATTATATTTTTTTTTATTTTATTATTTTTGTGTGAGTGTACCGTCAAATCAGATCTGACTGGTACAGGAGGAGATCGTCCCTCCTCCCCGGCAGAGCATCTGGTGGATTCGAACCATGCGCCTCTGGGATTGCAGTTGCAGCTCCTTGACACTAGGCCACCAGAGCTCCCCTTGAATTATTATTAAATTTTATTAGTTTTAATGAACATTTACAGAGATTTTGGGTTTTCACTTATTCATTGTTGCGCAAATCAAACTCTTGATATACATGATGGCTTGAGATATACGTGAATCTTCCCAAAGAGTATGTAAGTACTATATATTTCTCTTAACCACCCCAATATTATGTCTATTTAAGAGCCAGCTGTTAAATGCATATAAAGAGAAACACATTTTCACCATAGATTAATTGCTCTCTCTTGAGCTTTCAAGCCATATATTCTCTGGCTTTCTCTCCCAAATGTTAATTAGGAAGATAAGGTACTTTTTTGTTTCTGTTTCCTACTGGAATGCAGTTGGGATGTTTTCAGGAGGATTAAGTTTTAGTCAAAACACAATGGTTTCCAGACCTCGAGAGTTCTCTGACTCTGGCGTCTGAGAGCCAGAGCTGCTGTATCCTTCCATTTCTTGCCTTCTTTGCTGAACCACCCCATCCAGATCTGAGAATTCATCATTGAAATCCTGAAGGGAAACAGTGAAATGAAGAGAAGCTAAATTTTCCTCATTAAATGGGCGGGCAGGCTTTTGTAACACAGTTTTTTCCCTTATAAATGTTCCATAAAATGCTGAAACACAAGGAATGGTCTATATACTGAGTTTTCTCCAACAGATCTTTTACAACCACTAAATTAGTTCCAACTCCTAACAAGCCTCCATTGGGTTTCCAAGGTCAGACATCATAACGGGAGGAGACTGTCCAACTTTCCCCCTTGCAGCCACTGTTCCAAGGTAAAAAGAGATTCGAACCTGAGCCTTTGGGTTTGGAGGGCAACAACCTGTGCTCCTCCAGTAGAGCAATAGTGCAGTAAAGCCTACAAAAGGATTTTCCAGTAAAGTCAGTCAGACTTGTGAAAAAGTGGAAAACTTGTGCAACCCAGAAAAACAAGGTAGTCCTGATGAGTGCTGGCCTTGCACATTTCACGGTATCTAGTCAATGAAAGTGATATTTTTCTGAGCAGTTAGAATTCTGTCAATAAATAGTGGCTAACTTGTCTGAAACAACAACTATCTATAAAAGAGCCCTTGGAATGTCAGTGGTTGAAAAGCTTTGAGTGAAAAGCTAAAGGCATCCCTTTAGTCCACTGTCATGTCAGAAACTGGCTAATCCAGAGAATACAAGGAAAAAGAGTGGCTAAAAAGCTCTCAGTATATGTTTAGACATGCAGACAGAAAAGGGTATTCCGAAGTGAAAGTTCACAAAAACAGAAGATGGAAAGTGGAGTTAGCAAATTAGAGTTTTAGCTTTTTTCTTCTCTCAGCAAAATGAAAAGAAAGTAAAATAGGGTCAATGCTATCATATTTAAATAACCAGAGGGATAGAGAAGGCAGACATATTTCACTTTGTATGCCACCTATTCCCCTAAACTGCTTAAGATTTGATGAGAAACGGGTGTCATTACAAGATTCCTAATGAAGGTATAACTATACGGAACTTTAAACAATTTAATAGGCTGACAAATGAAGAGACTAATTTCTGCAAACAAAGTTCCTTTTCCCTTAAACTGGCTGACTTTTGGTTATGTCAATATGCATTTCTATTTCATTCAAGAATTTATAGAGAAGGAAAATAGAAAAATTATAGAGTTTGTAGTGAGCTCTGGTGACCTAATGGCAAGAAGCTGCACTGCAATCTGAGAGGTGAGCTGTTCAAATCCACCAGATGCTCTGCTGGAGAAGGAGGGGCAATCTCCTCCTGTACCACTCAAATCTGATTTGACAACACACACACACACACACACACACACATAATAAAAATAAAATAAATAAATAAAAATAAAATAAAAAATTAGTTTGTTCAATATAGTAATAATTTATTCTGAACAGTTACACATATCTTGTTCCTATTTGCTAATCACGATTTGCAGTTCAAATCCATCAACTGCTCAGTAGGAGAAAGATGGTTCATCTCCTTCCATGAGACTTATTACTACTGGAGACTTGCTGGAGGCTCATCTATAGGTCGGTTCTGACCCAAAGGTACTCAACAACAACAATTGCAATAGTTGTACTGTCCTTATTTTAATTCTTCTCAACTTGATCCTCTTTTGTTCTAGTCCTGATAATGTTCACTGTATACACTTTCTATTTCTGTTTTCTCCTTTCCCAGAAAAGGAAGGGGAGATGGGGGGCTGAAGAAGGGAGAGGAAATCACTAGGAGATCAGAGATTAGTAGGCTCACTGGGGCTGTGAAGGAATAAGCAAAGTAGTGAGACAGGGTGATATAAGTCATAGATCCATAATAATTATATAAAACACAATGTATAAAAATGATGGTATAAAACAAAATGCATGTAAATGAAACATTGTACACAAATGATTGTACAAATGAGAATGAATGACCACATAAAACAATGTAAATAAAAGAAATATAATGTATATGAATGAGTATATGCAAAGCAAGAAAAAAAATTATTGAATGCCTACCACACACTATGTGGGAGGCAAAGCTTCTACATACATAATTGCATATAATCATCACAGCCACATCATGAACTTGGCATTTAACTGGATGGGGAAACTGAGTCAGAGCAGTCAAGAGCTTGCTCGATGACACAGCTGGGTAGAGTCCCTATTTCACACTCAGCTTGTTGGTTTGTACATCATCCGTGCTTAGATCTTTATTGGATAGTTTCCACACTCTTTTTTTTTCTTTTCCAAAGATAGATTTTTAAAAATAGAAATGAAGGGGGGTGATTAATCATGCGGTTGTACAATTTGATAGGTAGAAGTGGTTGTAAGGGAAATTGGAAGAATCTGATCTGAAAAAACAATGTATTAGAATTCTGTAAATAAACTAGTGTAATAAAAAATATAGAAGTGAAATTCATTATTTTAAAGTATACATACTTCCAGTGATTTTTGGTATATTACGATATTGTGTAGTCATCTCTATGATTTAATTCAGAGCATTTCCATAACCCTAAATGAAATCCTGTTAGCATAAACAGCCACACTGCATACCTCTCCCTTCTTGATCTCTGACAAACACTAACCTACTTTCTGCCCTTATGGATTTGCCTATTCGAGACATTCTATACACACATGGCCATACAAAATGTTAATTTGGCCTTGTGTGTTTGAGCTCTCATTGATGATAACATTTTCAAGGCCCATATATAGTACAGAACATAACAAGAATCATTCAGTTTTATGGCCCAATAACACCCTATTATGTGGACAAACTACATTTTGTCCATCTGTCAGTGGTAGACTAGTTTCTACTTCTTGGCTTGAATAATGCTGCTTGTACAAGAATGAAACATTCTCGTTTTTCTGTGATGTTATGTTTTTAATCCCATTATATTGTAATAACCCTGGGGAAAAAAGGCTTGTAAATATCAAAACAATGGGCTCATCTTTCTTCATCAAAGACTACTTCATCAGTAGTTAATTATAACCACTTTGATATTATGATTAAGTCTCTTGGGCAAATATTGTAACATTATACGCATAAAATTGAGCAAACAGAGGAGGTTCTTCCTAATACAAATTTACCCTACAGTCAACAAAATGTAAAGGAATCAAAAATTCTCTCTAGTGTCCACTTGGATATTTTTGCTTTTTTCTGTAGTTACTTGTGGGCGTGCTAATTTCCTTCAGTGAGCTCTGAAGATAAGGTCCAATTTTGATTTTTGCTGGTACTGACACGGCATACACTAGCATTGTGTCTTAAACATGTCAGACATCCCATAATTTATGAAAGAAATCATCTCCTACCCAACATGGATTTGTAAATTCCTCTAAAACAGCCATGACAAACAGAGCAGGATGTAATCAACCCTTCAGTAACCCTCAATATCCCCAAGCAAGTTCTCTATCAAGTTTCTTTCATAGGACCAGCCTTCAATTACTTCAAAATGTCTACAGACTTCAGGGGTTTAAAAATTAACCTTTCTTTCAACTGTCTCTCAAATAACATAGTCCTATCTTCCTTTACTGAGAGACAATTCCACAGAGTTGCTGTAAATTAGAATTAAGATTTACTGGCAATAGAGTTGGTTTGGTTTTGGGGTTATAATCCTCCTACATTCTGGTCAAGATACAAAGAAAGGTGAAATTATTGGACACAGTCTTTTTCTTTTGCACTTAAATAGTTGTGTAGGCTTCTTACCAGAGGCAGTGATGAAGGGCGATCTGCCCGGAAACTGTTCTCAGCTGATGATGGGTTAGGGCTGTTACCAATGCTTGTATCCTGAAATTATTGGAATAAGGGGGAAAAAAAGTCAGATTAATTACTAAACCACTAAAACCACAAAAGAGATGCAGTAACTTTGAGAAACCATGGTACATTCACACAAAGGAACACTATGCAGCAAGCAGGAGCAATGATTTTATAAATTACTATTTAACTAGGGAGGGCGTGGAGAGCATTATGCTAAGTGAACTAAGGGTGGGAGAGGGTGGGAGCAGAGGGGTGAGAATGGAGTGTGTGTGTGGGGGGTAGAATGGTAGTCATAGGGTCACACAGTTTGATAGAAGTGTGTGTGAAGGAAACGGAAATGATCTGGAGTGAAAAACAATGTATATGACCTTTGTAAATAAACCAGCATTAATTTTTTTTTAAAGGAGAGAGAGAGATGCTCTGAGTCTCAGAGAGTTCATACTCACATCTAAGTGTCCACACACAGATTTTAGTAGTTTGTAAGTTGAATCTCTGGAGAGTAAGGAGACAAATATGTACTGAAAAACAAGACAGAATAATTATTTACAGATAATGTCTGATGAGAAGAGACAATCAGAGCTCAGAAAGAGTATGTATACATTTCTTTCCTCACTTTCAAATGACACAGATAATTTTTTTAAATTCATATTTTCATTCTTTGCACATCAACATGCAATTGTTATTACATTCTTGGAATAAAGCAAATACTTCCCAATAATACAAAACCCCTAACCTACTTTAAGTAAGAAAGAAATAAAGAGAAAAATGAAGGTTGAGAAGACTTCTTAAATCATCTTTAAAGTCTCTCTTTTTCATTTCTATTTCTTAATATCTCTAACAACTCACACCACTGAGCAGTACAAACAACAAAAAGTTTCATATTAGCAAACAACAAATGCTGGTGGGGTCGTGGAGAGATTGGAAATCTTATTCAATACTGGTGGGAATGTAAAATGGTACAGCCACTGTGGAAAGCAGTTTGGCACTTTCTCAAAAAGTTGGAAATAGAAATTTGACCCAGCAATCCCACTACTGGGAATATATACTCTAAAGAAACCAGAGCCATAATTCAAACAGATGTACGCACACCCACATTTATTATTGCATTAATCACAATAGCAAAGAGATGGAAGTAACCCACGTGCCCATCGACCAATGAATGGACAGAAGAACTAGGGTACATTCACACAATGGAATATTACACAATACTGAAGAGCAATAAACTTGTAAAACATTTCACAACATGTGGAAGCCTGGAGGATATTATGCTGAGTGAAATATCTCAGATACAAAAAAGACAATCACTGCATAACACTGCTGTTATAAAAATAGGACAGACATGGGGGGGGGGTTAGGAAGAGAATTGGAAAAGAGGATACAAATAATGAACACTGATTAGAACAGAGGTGAGGAAGAGCTATCCAAAAGGAATATACAATTAGGCCTTGCATGTATGAAAAACAAAATCTAGAACAAGGCACGCATTGTAGGGAGGGTTGGCAGAAGGGGTGGGAGAAGAAAATGTGCAACAGTGAAAAAAGAAAGAAGTTGCAGGTTCTAATCAACCCACAGTTGCCTCAGAAAACAAGTGTGGTGATCTCCTTAGGTCAGCCGTCTGAGCATCCTTCTGCTGACATATGTGGAGTCACCACGAGTTAGAATCCACTCAAGGACAGCTGGCAAATAAGCAAGCAAACAAAAAGTAATTCCCAAGGGGCAAGTTTATCTCATCTACCTTAGGTTTCTACTGAAAATGTCACAGCTGTTGTAATGGGTAACCTTTTCAAGCATGCCCTATTCTTTCTTGCACAGATATGCAAATATACTAGTGGAGGTTTATGGGAAATAGAAAAATCTGAAGTAGATAAGGACTTTGGAGGCAAATTGCCTAAGGAAAAATTCTTTTACCACAAATAATATGCTCTTATTTTGTAGAAACTTGAAAAAAGATACATTCAGTATATACAGAAACTCAATCTAACAGAGCAACAGAAATTTTTCCAATTTCTTTTCTATTAACTTGTTGTCACTGAGAAAATCTGATGTAATTTATAAGCAAGTACTAGATTCCAAAGTAACACTACAGAGTCTGGTTCTGGGCAGACCTGTATGCAAATTTTGGCTCTGAAATTTGGCATCATTGGGCAAATAGTTTCATGACTCTTAGCATTAATATTCTTTTTTTAAAAAATGTCTCACTCTAATAGAGCTCTGGTGGTCTAGTGGTAAGCAATTGCACTGCAATCCCAAATGTACAAAATTTGAATCTACCAGCTGTTCTGTGGAAGAAGAACGAACAATCTCCTCCCATGCAATTTATGGTCTCTGAAAACCCACTAGAGGGTCAGCTAAGGGTGGACTCTGATTCAACAGTACACCGCAATAACATTCCGAATAGTGTTAGAATAAATATGGGGAAGAAGTTTTAACGATGTCAGTCTGGAGACTAAGGCGTGCCTGACCCATGGTCTTCACAACTACTTGTTATGCATCAGAGAGCTGGACAATGACTAAGGATGACAGAAGAAAAATGCCTTTGAATTGTGGTGCTGGAGAAGAGTCTTGAGCATATCATGGACCACAAGAAAACAAATAGGTCTGTCTTGGAGAGGGTGAAACCAAGTTTCTCCGTGGAGGTTAGGATTTTGAGATTCCATCTCACATACTTTGGGCTAGGAGGGTTCAGTCTTTGGAGAAGAACCTCATGCTCAGAAGGACAGAGGGACAGTGTAGGCAAGATACAAGATGAGACGGATTGATACAGTAACTGGGACAACAGGGGTAGATGTGTGTTGGAGTCAGTGAGACAGGCTCAGGACAGCACAGCCTTTAGAGTTGTTGTGCACAGGGTCACTATGAGTCACAGGGGAATTGACATATAACAACAATACATACTCAAGCCCATTGTAGCAGTCACTGTATCAATCCATCTAGTGAGGGAATTCCCCTCTTTTTCCAAGCCTCCACTTTCCAGATTTAATATACTTCTCCAAGGAATAGCCTCTTCCAGCAACATGTATGAAGTCATCTTTGCCTCTAAGAAGTACTCTGGCTGCATTTTCTTGAAGATGTATTTATTTGTTCTTCTGATAGTCCATGGGATATTCAATACTCTTAGCCAAAACCACAGCTAAAAGGCATCAATTCGCCTTCTGTCATCCTTATTGTCTATCTCTCAAATATATAGCAAGTCAATGGAAAGACTATGCCCTGAATCAGATGCCTCTTAGTCCTCAAACTGACATCATTGTTCCTCAATAATTTAGAGAGGTTCCTGACTGCAGACCTTCCCAGTGAAATACATGTCCCGATTTCCTGACTGCTAGTAACGAGGTTGTTGACTGTGGATCTAAGTAAGATGAAATCATTGGCAATTTCTATCTTTTCCCTATCATAATGTTTCCTATCAGTCCAGCGATAGGAATTTTTGTTTTCTTGGTGTTGAGATGCAATCCACATTGAAGACTGTATTCATTGATCTTCTGCAGAAAGTGCTTCAAGTCCATACTTTAAGCAATCTGTACTAGGCAGGTTATCGATGCCACACTCTTCATCATAGAGTCCAGTTTCTTGAATAATTTTCTCAGCAAACAGAGTGAATAGGTATGGGGAAAGGATACAACCCAGACACACACTGTTCTTAATTTTAAACCATGTAGTGTTCCCTTCCTTTTTTCACACAATAGGTTCTTGGTCTAGGTACAGGTTTCATATGGGCACAACTAAGTGTTCTAGGATTCCCACTATTTACAATGTTAGCCATAATTTGTTAAGATCCATATAGTCAAATGCCTTTGCATAGTAAATCAGGCATAAACAGACATTCCTCAATGTATGTTAATAAGTACTCTTTTAAAGATTTGATCCATAAAACATGTATGAATAAGCTTCCTAGCTGATCACATCAATATTTCCTTTCCTTTCCCTTCTTTTAAAAAATTATCCATATCTAAGAAATATAGATAAGAATGGAATATAGCTTTCATGGTTTCAAATTGTTGTTTTGTATTGCAGAGTTGGAATCGGCCCCTAGCTATTCTTCAGCATGTTTTCAGAGGCAATTAATTGCACAGAAGGAGATTACCCATCCTTTTCCCACCGACCAGCTGGTGGCCTTGAAATGTGAGCCTTCGGGATTGCAGGGAAGCTTCTTACCACAAGGTCACCAGAGCCAGAGCTCTAAATTCAGAGGTTCTAGTTTCAAATAGTAGATAAAAATTTTTCCAATGATGCTGTTATGTGCCATCAGGTCCCCCTGTGACTCACAGTGACACTATGTACAATAGCTCTGAGGCCTGACCTACCCTGAGCCAATCTCACTGTCTCTGACACACCTACCCCCATTTACTACGTCATCTCATTCAGGGTTTTCCTTTCCTGTGCTGTCTCTTCTAAGTGGCCAACAACTCTGTTCTTCCTCTCTCTCAACAAGCTGAACTAAACATGATTGTCAATGCAAATATCTCTGGTTGGGCATACAAGGGTAACCCACATAGAATGATAACTCCATAATTTCTATATTGAAGAGAGTAAAGGCCATCTAGGAACTAGTCTTGATGTTGCCACTGCCTGAGAAGCATATAGTGTTCTCATCTGGATGGCTCTGGGGAAGATCTGACTTTGTTACCTCCCCACTTCTCTACCAAGGATTTATTAGTATCACTACTCTTCACCCTGTCTACCAGGTTATAGCTGTAATTTTTGGTTTTAATTAGAAGAATTGAATTTGTCAGTTTAGCTTGACCTAACATATTAAAGAAACTAGAAAGCAATATTTTTTTACATGATTATGCACTATGATAAAATGATTGATATAATTAAGTCAACAAAAAGTTTAAAACTAGCAACAATTATTTTAACAACCACCTTGTGAGGGGTAACAACACTTTTAAAATGTCTAAAGGTTATGATTTCTTTTTCTAAATTTTATTTACTTTATTGTTGTTGACACTAGACACAGTAAAATATAACAATTTAATGGTTTCCATGTACAAGTCAGTGACACTGATGATGTTTTTTCAAGTTGTGCAACAATTTTTACCCTCCTTTTGACTTGGTCCTCCTCCATTAACATACCTGCCCTCTAAATTTCCTAAGTAATCTTTAAGTTGCTATTGTCAATTTGATCCTAAATAAAGAGTTCTTTTTTATTATTATTATTTTTTTTTAAATTATTTGTGTGTGCGTGTACCGTCAAATCAGATCTGACTGGTACAGGAGGAGATTGCCCCTCCTTCCTCGGCAGAGCATCTGGTGGATTCGAACCGTGCGCCTCTGGGATTGCAGTGCAGATTCTTGCCACTAGGCCACCAGAGCTCCCCAAATAAAGAGTTCTTAAAAGAGGGTAATATTCAAGTCAGAGTTTGTTAAAAAATTAGTTCAAGCTAAACTATTTGGTTTTAAGATGACTTCAGAGAATAGTTTTGGTTTACAGATATCTCATGGCAATGGTACCAGGAGTTCATCCACCAGCGTGGCTCCAGAAAGTCTGTTATTGTTAGTCCGCTGTAGTCGTATGAAACTCACAGTGGCCCTCTGAGCAATGTATGTGATCCCTGTCCTATCCTGTGCCATCCTTATCATCCTTGACAGCCTTGAGCTCATAAGTGCAGTTGTTATATCAATCTATCTCACTGAGTCTTCCTCTCTTTCACTGACCTTTTCAAGCATGATGTCCTTTTCCAAGGACTAGCCTCTCCTAGCAACATGTCCACAGTATGTGAGACAAACTTCACCATCCTTACCCTTAGGGAGTACTCTTGTACCTTCTGTAAGACATCTCTATTCTCATGGCAGTCCTGGGATATTCAGTACTCTCCTCCAACACCGCAACTCTTGGGCATCCATTCTATTCTATCATGCTTATTCATGGTTCAGCTCTCAGATGCATGAAAAACCATGGCTTTAATCAGGTGCATCTTGGTCTTTAATCTGTCATTAGCACTCTTCAGTCCTTTTGGAGAGGTCCCTGACAGCAGTCCATTTCAATTCTATATGTCTCCTGATTTCCTGACTGCTAGTACCAATGGTGTTGGTTGTGGATTCAATTGAGATGACACTGTCAAACTTTTGTTCCTCTACCATGATGTTTCCTCTTGGCCCAGTGGAGACGATTTTCAAGAATTGAAAATCTGATATTCTATTTGGCATTTTCTCTTTTTGATTCATCTATAGAATCTGTGATCAAAATGTTTAGCAACAAAAGCTAGGCACCATCTTGGTTTTCTGGTCTGAAGGCAAGGAAGGCAGTTACTAATGGAGGCAATTACCACACATTCCTTATCTGCCTTCTATTCCTGACTCACCCTCCTCTTTTGCTTCAGGTGAATGAAGATCAACTGTTTTGTCTTGGAGGGTCAACTTCTAGCACTTAAAATCCCCAGACACTACACCATAAAGTAGAGGTACAATACAATCAAGAAACATATTATCAGGCCAATTATCTGGGGTCTCTATGCATAGAGCATCTTCTGATTCACTACTGAGGCTGATTTTTTGGCTTAGGGTCCTTGTCCTTGGCAGGGCCCCCCCCCCCGCGAGAGCCAGTGAAGCACAGATGAGGAGTACAAAGCCAAGGCATTCTCTCTGCATGTACTCACCCTGTCTGTGACTGTGGCTATTATCAGAGCATTTGGCACCAGAAGGGCAGTTTTGGTTTTCTTTATTAGGGTTACTGAGAAAGCCGGAATGGAGATCTGAAACAGAATCACCAAGTTAGCACTGGTTCAGGCCTCACACAGCAGTAGTTTAGACCTTTATGTTACACATTCATGAGTCTAAATGAGCAACCAGCTCTTCAGCTTAATCAATATTAATGTTCTGGTTTTATAGTATGTTCTTGAAGCAAATAATTACACAATCTGCAGATGAAGTATTTTGAATGTTCTTTGGTGATATTTAGGTAAAAAAAAATTAGAGAGTGGCTGTGAAGAAGTGTATGTGTAAAAGAATATGCCTAAGAGAGTGGTACTTGGGAAAAAAAGGGATGCTTACATTGTATGGAGACATTTAGAATCTGATATTTGCCACTATAATTTAGGAAATCAGGCATAAAAGTGTAATGATGAGTAAATGTTTACAAATATACCTGTATTTAAGTTATCAATCTTAAAAATATTCACAATATATAATAAATGGCAAAGTTAGTTTGCATTTTAAAATGATACCAACCTTTGTGTCTTTTCCAAAGACCTTCGAGTAAAAACAAATCCAGTTTTCTGATATAAAGAGCTTTCCTTGGTATAATATTTCTTTCTGTAGAGCACAGGTAAAGCCTGGAAATATATAGATATATAAATAGAAAAGAATTTAAAATTTCCATTAAAATAAAAATTTTACTCATTTTTTATGATGCAGAAATGGGGAGTATACCATACATTAACATTTCTTAGTGGAATAAGGCCATCATGGCTATTTTGGTTTTAAGTTAAAAATCTCACAAAGCATATTATGAAAATCAAAATAGAAAGGCAAATCTATCATTCCATAAGAGAAATCAAGAATGGTGTTTTAAAAACTTTGCTCTCTTTAGGAAGGCATGTCACCAATGAACTAACTTTGGCATCCCTGCCCTGTTCTTTTTGGACTTCTCCCTAATGACTTCTTGTGGAATCAAGTGGTCTCCCTGTTCAAAGAGCACACTTTCCTGTTTGGAGATCACGGAAAGAATTCAGCATCTGTGTACCAAAAGAAGCAAGAACGGAGAACTGGTTCAGAGTGGGTACCCAGCCAGTGCTGGTGAGGATATTTTGGGGTGAGCATCACACACTGTATATATAGCAGAAATTCAATACATGTTTGTCCACTTAGATTTGTGGTCTCCTTTTTCTATGTGGCACAGAGCTTAAGCTCTTGACAGCTAGCCAGAAGATGAGGAGTTCAAACAACCCAACAGCTCCCTGGGAATAAGATGGGGCAGTTAGCCTCTATAAAAGATACAGCCTCAGACACCTTATGAGGCACTTCTACTATGCACCATCGGGTTCACTGTGAGTTGGAATCACCCTGACAACAGTGGGTTTGATTTCATTTGGTAGTGGTTTCTCACATTCCCAGACTGTTAACCTAAATCTGGAAGGCAAAGATATTATTCTAGAATCAAATTAAATTACTTTGTATCATGTGGAGTTTCTCATTAGCAGTATTTCTCATTCTACTCTCCTATCTCTCTTTGCTCTGGGTGAGGGCTGAATGAAACAGGCATTATTTATATCACAACTTTCAAGAACTTATTCCCTTGGTGACTTAATTCTTACACCATGCCATTAAACCACCTCCCCCACCCAAAAACCTAATTAGCACCCTTAAAAATATATAGTTCAATAAGTCAGAACTTACTTTGCCTCAGTGGTTCCTCAGTTGGGACATCAACAAACAACTTGTGAAAGTGCATATTTGCCTTGTACTACAACAAGAACAAAATACAAGCATCACTGCTCTCGCTGTTTTGTGAAACATGACAAATTTTCATTTCAGTTTAAATTAAATAACATATTTCCCCATACTAATAATAATAGGAAGTACTTGTCTTTGAATTTAGAGCCTACAGTACAATCTTTCAGTGGAAAACAGTGAAAGGCAAGACACAAAAGGTTTGATGCTCCAAAAAGATTTGCTTGGACATACAGTTATAATTAACAGCATAGCTAGTAATGACTTTCCTGTGAGAGGCAGGGCTGAACTAGATTGGCCCTGACAAGAAACCAGGTGAGGTTCTAGGCAGAGTTTAACTAGGGAAAGAAGTAACAACGGAAAGTAATAGTTAGTAATAGTAGTAACAAGGGAATGTAATAGATCCCAGAGAAATAAAGACATAACATGAGGTCCAAGAGTACAATGGTTAAAGCTTGGCAGGCAGATAAACCTGAGTTCAAGTGTTGACTTTTTATCCTACTTGGTGTGTGATCATGCCCTAGCAACCTAACTTCAATTTCCCTTTTTGTGTCAAGCATAAAACCAATATCTGCCTCACAGGGGTATTATAAATTTTCCTTAAGAAAATATATCTGAAAGGCCTACTTACTGCCTGAACAACACTTGGTAACTATTACTAATATTGCGAAGGCATTTCCTTAGTCATTTTCAGTGGGTGATGACCATCAACAGAGGAAGAAATGCATATCAAACATGTAACTTTTCCAGGGCAGTAAAAAACTCGAGTCTGAAATGCTAGAAATCCCTTAAGTTTCAAGGCATATGTTTCTCCACTGACAGCACTGTATAGACTTATTTATAGCTTATAAAAACACTTTCACAAATATCATCCTCACAATAAACTCATGAATCTAATTAAGTAGGACACTGTGTTTCAGGGACTGACTGACTTAATTGGGCCCAACAGTTGTCAATAGGTAGAATTGGGCCCTACTATCTAAAAGACCTCATTTCCTTCTAAGATGCTTTGCATGGAAAAGCCTTATAAGGAAAAAGATCTAAGAGAGATAAGCACAAAATGCCTTTCTTGTGTAATCCAAAGTATGAATAGTCTTAACAGAAAAAACTAGCCCATTATTGCCATTTAAAAAAACCCACTAGAGAACAGGTCATCATGATGATAGATGGTTCCTGAGAGGCAGCTATTTTACAGATAAACACTTTATATAAAGAGTTACTGTGTGCTATTTCCTGGAACACATTTTCATCCAGAAAGCTGTCTTCATCAAAAAGAGGTGTTCTAGGAGAGCTTTCCTGAGAATTGGTTTTAATGCCATAGTGAACTCTGGCTGCACAGTTATTTTAAAAAGGCCCAGGTCATGGACTCTTCAACAGTATCCATCTAATAATGAAAGGGCAGGGAGTTAGATGGCAAATCTAAACTAAAGAGACCAAATAAATGCAGTACAGCTCTCAACTGGATTCAAGTGAGGAAAAAGCTTCCAGAAAGGCATTCATTATCGGAATAATCGTGGAAACACAAACATGTATTTTATATCTTGTATGTTTTTTGCATACTTAATATTTAGCTAAATTAATTAGGTGAGCCAATAGTCCTCTCCCTGTTAGAAGACACAAGTTCAAGTATGTAGGTGTGATGTATCCCAGCCCACTGAAGTGTCATACTCTTTTACATAGAACTGAGCTTTGTGCATCTGTGGGTTTATGTGAGAATGGAATCACAATAGTTTTTGGACAAGTACGACCCTGCTCTCAGACTTTTCTTCTTCTGTGTTTAGAAGGAAGGCGCCTTGTCAGGCACTTTCATTTAATACAAAGATGTCATCTTTGTACTTTGTCCTGGCTAATTATTAGACACGCACATGGCTTTGGGTTGCTGCCTGCTCTCAAAGTACTAACCAGAGTTAGAGGTCAAGGACTTTAGACTCATCGGCTCTCAAAATGTATTGAAAGGTCAGTTGTGAAATACTAATGTAAGACTGAGTGAAGGAACTGAAACATGTCTGTTCTTCCAGAATCTCTCAAAAGGACACCTACCTGAACAGCAGAGAGCCACACCCAGGAACCTTTCTGTCCACTGGCCTTGATAGTTCTGCTAGCTTCAGAAACAGTAACACATTCCACTCCCAAATTACCTGGCTAGAAGATGAAGATTTTTTCCTTTCAGTCTTCGAGTCAGTTTTATTTTCTGTTTTGCAGTCATTTTTATCACCTGCTAAGGAGGCACCCTCAAAACTGGATTTTGACCTGTGGAAAGAGAATCCAAGGACTCTATAAGATAGGTATTTATTTGATGCTACTTCACAAATTTTCTTACGATAAATCTTGATTACTGTATCATTTTCAAGACATATGGACATACTTTTTTTTTTTTAAAGACATTGATACTCCTATCCTAACACTCTAAGGGCATTTTTTTTTAAAGCATGTGCTTTGGGAGCTTAAAATTTATATAGCAGGCTGTCTCAAACTTCAGAAACTATAAATTACAGAAGGAGAGAAATAGTAATTGAATTGTGAAAGCAATTACATCATTTCAAAAGTATTTTTGTCAGTATAAAGAGGAGAACTGGAGGCAAATTATTAAACAGAATTGCAGCTATACAGCTCAATCAAAGAGTATTTTTGTTTGGGAATTCTATTAATATTTAACGAGTATTAATTGAATATGACATTGTGTTAAATGCCTTGGAGCCCACAAGATAGTCTCTATGCTTCAGGAGCAGGAGCTAGGGCACAAATGCACAAATCAAACTTTCTTTTTTTTTTAAAGGGCATGCATGCTTTAGCAACAAACTTCTGCATATCACATAAATTAACTGGATATATATGTAGACAATAAGTATACCAGGAAGCAAAACTGAAAAGGTTCAGTAGTAAAATGTGGATTATAATACACTGGACCTTAAGAAAGAGCAGAAACTGAGTAAATGGGGGGGGGGAACACAAAAAGCACTCCAGATTTGGGGAAACAGTAGAAATAAAATCCGGAAAGGAAAAGAAAAAGAATCCATTTGAAAATTATGTCTTCCACCGGCTTGTTAAGGGCTGACCAGAGTCTTAGCATATCTGAATAAGGTAATTCCAGCCCAGCTGGGCCTATTTAATCCTCAACAACTCAGTTCATCTCCATCAAGGGTGAACCAATTCACAGCCAGTAAATTTTCAGAGGTATAAAGAGCATGGAAGGAGTTTGTTCTTCTTTCTCCCTTAGAAGCTCTGGCAGAGTTTAACCTCCGGAGGGGCACCACCTTTAGGTTATTAGCCCAATTCTCTACAGATTACTTCACCAGATTTCCCCTAGCTGTGCAAATTTACACAGATCTTCAAGGCCACAATGAAAACCAGCCATTTCAAAGTGGAAGGCATGTATGATCTTTAGAGAGGAGGTGGAGATCAGCAAGGTTTAGCATAAATTTATGAAGTGCTTTTATTGTTTATTGAAGGGAGCAGCCAATGATAATCCATGATGGCACAACATTATTCCTTGGAAGGAGGCTTTAAATATGCAGCCCTGGTTTTCTGAGCCGTGAAATGATGGATTGAGGGTCTCCCTTCCTGCCCCACAGTTCCCGACTCTATGAGCTAACGTCACAGATAAAATTCTTCACTAACTCAAAGTAAGTGGATTTGGGCCACAGGCCAGTGTAGGTTGCTCTGATGGCCTACTTAGCAGGGAGTTGCCCTGCAAACCCAAAGGTGGGGTCTCTCTCGATTCAAATCCACCAAAGATGGGCAATCTCCTCCTTTGAAAGTTATAGCCTTTGAACGCCTACTAAAGGGTCAGGAATAAGTTGGCTCTGACTCAGTGGCAATGAGAGAAAGAGACGCCACTGTGCCTGTTCACAGGCATAAATTCACTTGGGATTCTGCACATTAATTTTTTGAAAATATGAGTAAACGGTTACACTCTGCTTAAAAATAAGATTCTTTTTTTACAGAGTTCAAATTATGTACTATTTATATCTTTTGCCAATTTGAGTTCATTCTCTATACTGATTGAAATTAATAAGTATACATAGCATTTTAGAGGAAATTATTATATCTTAAAAAAAATAGGAGCTGTCAGCAAAAATGACAAGAAGCGTGGACGACCCTCCAAAATGCATACGCAGTGAAGGGCTCATTTGTATAATGATGACTTCTTGAGGGGAGGTGCTTATTTATAGCACTGATTTCTGTTAGTCTTCTCAATATTTAGGGATCTCTCGAAGAGATGGATTGATTCAGTGACTGTCAGAGACAAAAACGTTGGCACAGGATAGAGCTGATTTCAGGGCTATTGTACCTAGGGTCACTAGGAGCCACAAGCAACTTGATGGCACATAACAACAACAACAACGGGTGCAGCAAGGGGCTGCACTGCCAGCCTGAAGGTACACAGTTTGAACCCACTAGCTGCCCTGAGGGAGAAAGACTGGCAATCTCTATCCACGTGAATCAGAGCCTCTGAGACCCCTCTGGAGCATCAGCTATGAACCAAATCTACTTGACAGTATATAACAACAATAATTTCAACATGTCTATCCATTCACTTCCCTGCAAGCAACTACAGAGATTAGCCTGAGGTATGGCACGTGCCCGGGCACCACTTGAAGGGGTGCTACTAAGCACTTTGTCTTAACCTGATATGACCTAATGCCATTCCTGTGGTAGACAGAAGGGCAGAGTGAGGCAGTGGGGCCCGGAGGAGGGGCCTGTCTCCTGGTTCAGGGCAATGCAATGCCAGGCAAGGCACTGCATGACATTCTGAGGTGCCACAAGTATGAAAGATACGTGAGGTAACAAGACAAGAGGAGGTAAGGTGAAATGGGGAGGGAGTACAATTTAAAGATTGCCACTGGGCTCTAACTGGAGTGAGGGGCACAATTTAGAGACTACCCTTGAGTGCTGTTATCCTCACTAGGCCCCGGCAAAGGCAAAATGTCAGTTTCTATTTCCATACACACACACACACACACACACACACACACACACACACACACACCTCTGAGTGACTATGAACAGGACTGGAAGCCCAATGCAAAATGAAACGTGGGCTCCCTTATTAAACAACCATTAGAGACTCTTTCAGTACAAGAGCACAGATGACAAACCAAGCCCAGAGCCCTTTGTAGTGCCACAGAGAGCACTTCATCAAGTTCACCATACACACTGGGATGATGAATGAATGTGCCATTCTTGTCAGAAGCTGGAGTCTGGAGTTGAAATCAACAGAGTTTTTCAAGCACCTGCTGTAGCCAGTCTTGGCGGATAAAGACACAAGAAGCAACATGCCCTGTGCTTCTATGGGGAGACTCATCTAGTAAGTGGGGCAAGTGCTTTGACAGAAAACAAATAAAGGAAACATGGTTACGAGTGAGATGCCACAAAACAAGCATGCAGAAAAGATGGAGAGATAACTGGGAGCTGCAGTAAAGAAAAGTTCCGGGGAGGAGATAAGAAAAGTTTTGGTCCTAGAAGGAATTCTAGATTGGGAGAGAAGATGCAGATTGGGGAGGCAGGAAGACGAGAGAAGCAGGAGTTGTTTAATCACCTCTTAGCAGTGGCCAAAGGCAACAGAAGGCAGCAGTTGTGATAGCTGTAAGAACTGTGGGGGAAGAAGAACCACTCCTCCACTTGGTGCAGATAAATAGACAAATTTCTTCACAACTGACCATTGGTTTAATCCTTCCTTTCACCCCTTTTAAATCGGTTTGCTTACAAAGTTCTTATATATTGTGTTTCATACAATTATCCCCATGCATTCATTATGTTTTATAAAATTCATCACCACTGGACCTTGTCCATCATTACTCTGTCTTTTTAGGTCCCCACTGAATCCTTCTCATCTCCTTCACCCCTTATCTCCACTTATCAAACTACACAACACTGTGGTTTTGCCCCTACCCATTTTCACCCCTCTGCTCCCACCCCTGCCCCCTTTGGGTCCCCATACATGTTTTACTAGTTATCCCTCTATTTTTAAAATAATAGTCTTGTGCAGCATTTGTCCTTATAATTACTCCTTTCTAAAATTTTTTTTTAAATTATAATGACTCCTTTTTAAGAGTTGAAAAGTAATGCTAAGGCCATTCATCTCCCTTCTGTGGAAATGAAGGCATGTGATTGTTGCCTCTGAGATTAGGGAATTTATTTACACCCCACACCCAAAGTCTCTCACTGCTCCACATTAAACTGTCCCTTCCACTACTGGTCACAGGAGATGGGCAGGTGGTGACCAGAAACCTGCCCTGCAGACAGACCTCCAGCCAGACCAGGGCAGGCTCCTCCTCCACTCTGCAGGGGCTGCTGGGCGAGTGAGAGAGCAGGTGTGCTCTCCTGGGGTGTGTACACACTCCGACCTGGATACGCCTCACAACAAACTGGCCAGCCTTCCCGGGTGTTTTCTAGCTCTTTGCCTGAGAGTGCGCTTGCTGGTTTCATCAGTGAATAAAATCAATGTTTCAAGAAAGAAGCAGGCCTTCCTGTAGAAGGCTGAGGTAAGAAAGACAAAAGATGCTAGAGAATCTTTAAAATCCAAACTGTCCCCTGAAGTCTCTCTTAAAACTAACAAAAGTTTACTTTAACTAAAAAAAAAAAAATAAAATAAAAATTTCTGTCTTGAGTGTTATGCTCTTTTAAGAACTGTCTATATGGGATCAAAGTGACAATTGCAACTCAAGAGATTAGACAGAAACTTTAGAGATTTTGTTAATGGGGAAAGGAACAATCCAGAAAACAAGGGTGAGAATGGCCCCACAACCTAAATCAATGTCATGGAACATGGCATGTGGAAATGGTTTAATTGGTGTATGTCTGGCTGTGTATATTCTCAAAAATAATAAAAAGATGTCAGAGGAAATAAAATTCCAACCTGCGGATACTAATGAAAAGCAAAACCCTTCAATACTTCTTTTCCAACCTTCATTTAACAACCATTAAACTAGAAAGAACTGCTTCCAGAACTCTCTGGAGACAGCATGAGGACTTACCGCAGGCTGATAACTCTCTTCTGGTCCAGGGACTCGGCCTCGCTGGATGGGGAGGGGGTCTGGGCTGTCGGTGATTTGCAGGCCTTCTTTTTTTCCTCCACTCCATTTTCAGCCTCAGAGCTGGAGAAGAGAGAAAAACGCTTCACCTTAGTCATCCAGATGCAAGGAGAACGATCTTCACTCCCCAGTCATGGGCTAGCGTCAGTTTTGCCAGTTGAACCCTTCCCAAACTTTCATTCTAAACCACTTGGTGCTAGCCTGGAAAGCAATAGCTTCCAGGCAGCCACTTCACTTATAAATGCCTCACTGCCAGGACTCGCTGGTCCTGTGTGTTCCTGGCACCAGTCTGTGGCTGGAGGCCTCACGCTGCCCAGTTCTGTCCTGCCTCACCAGGTTGTTGGGGCGGCATTTCACCTGAAGGCTGGGAGGGCCAGGGTGCAAGCTCACGTGCAGCTTCCTGCCAGGTGTGAGCCTGGCCTCTGGGAACCCCCTTGGCGCTTTGCTTATACTCTGTCACTTCTCATCTTTTGTTGTAGTTAGTTGTCTGGGTCCTGCCTTTGGTTTATTGTCATTCTAACCATGTGCTACACTAAGAATGATACACAGCTTCTACTCTTCGCAATCATTCAGGCTAGGTTGGAGGAGTTATCCCCATTTTACAGATTCTAAATATGTGGTTCTTTGATGTTAACTATTTTCCCCAAGTCCACACAGCTAATGATCACTTGACTCTGAATCACAACTCACTTGAGCTGTGATTCAAACAAGTCTGTCCATTTTGAAGGCCTTTATGTGGTCTAAGTCATTATTTCGTTTTCTCTTTTATAGTATCTGCTCATTCATTCACCATTCTTCTCCTCATTCCTATCAACTTTTCAGTTTGACAGCTTCCCTGTGGGCTAAGAGTTTTAATCATTTTTAAACTGAACATGAGGTCTAAGATAGTGCTTGTTACTCACTCAAACTCATTACTGTTGAGTCCGAACCAACTCACAGCTGACCCACCATCGAGTTTCTGAAGCTGTAAATAGAACAGGAGGGGAATGCCAGTCTTTCTTCCATAGAGCCACTGGGGGATTTGAACTACCAGAGGAGTGTAGCTAGCAGCAAAACTCCCCATGGACTGTACCATTAGAACTCCTTTTTTTTAAAAAAAAATATAGTCCTGGTTAAGAATTACAAATGTGACTGTCTACATTAGTAGCTTGATGTTCATATTCCAGGTTGATTTTTAAGTATACAATCAATCCATACGTTAGGAATGTCTGACTTTTATATAACCTGTCTGACTTATATAAGCCAACTCTCTTCTTATATTGAAAATTAAACATTATATTAAAATTTGAGGTACATATAATGGTTCACATTAACAAACAGGCACTACTTTGTGACATACAACGAAACATTTTTAGATCATTGCATTTATTATGCCAAAGATGTTTTAATGTACCTGAAAGAGTTCTTTCAGTGTTTTTCTTTTTCCACAAATAAAGGTAGACTATATACCAAGACAAACATACAACTTACTGATGTTAGATTTGAATTATACTGAACTGTCCTGACTTACATAGAATTCCAACTTAAAGACAGGCTTGGGAATGGGTCTTATTCATAAACTAGAGACTTACATACACATTCATAGAGACTGTACTATATATATTTATTTTATACAACTCGTTTTTCTTCAATATGTGGTCACTGTTGGGGAGTCATCTTGACAGGAGTTAACAACATGTGGTAGATAAAATTTTAACAACTTCATAATATTTTATTTCATTATATATGTCTTAATGTTTTGTAATTTATTTAACCTTTCCCTATAGCTGGGCATTGAGTGTATTCTTATTTCTTCACCGCTACAAAACAGTGTAATAACTATCTGTTTAAATGTAATTTATGAACTTGTGTGTCTCTCTGTATGCTTAGGACTAGAACTTCTAGATACAAAAAGTATGTTTCTTTAATTTAGAAAGCTAAAACCACATGTTGTTGTTCTTATTTATTGCATGACTCATAGTGACCCTATGAACAAAATGCCTGAAGCCTTTCTATAATTATTATTGCTTTTCAAAGTTCATAGAGTTTTCAGAGGCATGTAGTTTAGGAAATAGATGCCATTCCTGCTTCCAAACTTGTCTTAAACTGGAAGCTCCACTAAACACTGTTGACCATGGGCAGCCTATTATGGCATTTGACCCATAATAGAACAAGGTTCAGCATCACAGCAAATTCAGTTTACTTCAGTTCAGCAAATTGACAGAGGAGGTGCTGTACATTTTAGAAGAATGTTCCTCCAAAATAAAATAACACTAGACCCTTGGGCCCAACCGATTTTTAAATATAAGGGATATATGATATACATATAAACAAAAGGCCTGAAGCCTTTCTATAACTATCTTCTTTTCTCCAGGTTCATAGAGTTTTCAGAGGCATGTGGTTTAGGAAGTGGATGCCACTCCTACTTCCAAACTTGAATCAATTTGGGAGCTCCACCAAACACTGCCCACGATGGGTAGCCATTATGGTGTTTGGCACACCTATGGCACAGTTGTTCCATTATGGCATTTGAAACCCAAATGGCACAAAACTCAGTGTCACAGCAAACCCAGATTACCTCAACACACCAAATTCATCACACCAGAGTAATGTATGACTTAGAAGAATGTTCCTCCAAAATATAGTAACAAGGGATTAAAATATCCCTGGGGCCCAACTTTTAAATATAACGGTCCCCCAGGAGGTCTTGTTACTCTAAACAAAAAGCTTAAATAAAAATAACCAAACAATCCACACAGACCCGTAACCAAAACAAGAGCACCATCTTACAAAGTCCAGATGCTTCATCAAACTCCAAAACTGAGGCTAGGGCTTTGACGTTATATGTTGTTGTTAAGTGCCATCTAGTACCAATCCTATAAACATAAGAACTATTGTCCTTCTTCTAAGTTCATAGAGTTCCACAGGCATTTTTAGGGAGTGGATGGCACTGCTGCTTCCAAGCCTGTCTTAATCAGTGAGCTCTACTAGACATTGTCAACCATGTGTAACCATTATGACGACATGGCACACCATTTGGTATCATAGAATCCAAAGTTACCTCAAAAACAGAGAAAGGACTGAACAGTATACCACTTAGGAGAATGTTCATTTCAAAAACAACTAAAACCAGCCTGAGTGCCACAGGCCCGAGGACTGCAATGAATTTTCAAAGACCCCATGGCCTGAACCGTGGGCTCTCATTGGCCAAAAAAGAGGCTTCCAGCCAACCACCAAATGCTTCAGAGCCAGTCCCCAGCCAGCACAGAGCAACAAAAACAACACTCACCCCTCTAAGGCCATATGCGTTTTTAAAGATCCCAATGTAAATTTAAATTTCTTTATCTTAGAAAGCTAAAATTTGTAAAAAGAGTGCAGATGCACACCCATGTTTGTTGTGGCTTTGTTCACAACAGCAAAGAGTTGGAAACAACCCAAGTGCCCATTAACAAACAATGGATAGAGAAGCCGTGGTATATTCACACAATGGAATATTACACTGCATTGAAAAACAAGGAACTCATGCAATATTATTCAAAAGGGGTGACCCTAGAAGACATTATGCAGAGTGAAATATCTCAGTCACAAAAGGACAAATACTGCCATAGTGCCACTGTTGTAAAATGAGATTGACATCGGGGTTGAGGGAAGACTGAGAAAGAGGGGATAAATAATGTATACTGATTGAAACAGATGAGGGAGAGAACTGTTTAAAAGGGATATATGATTAGATATTATTGTTATGACAGAAGTCTAGAATGAAGGCTGCACAGTGCAGTGGAGTGGATTTGGGGGGGGGGAGTGATCGTATAATCACAATGAAAGAATTTTTCTTTTACTTTTCAAAGAGAAGAGCAAATTGATGAGAGGGGATGGGCAGGGAGAAAAGTGAAACAGTGACTGAATGGAAACCCTAAGTCTCTGTAAACTTTCAATAAAATTAATTAAAAAAAGAAGTAAAAAAAAAAGAGTGCAGATAGCATATGGAGTGGCAGAATCTGACTTCCAATAACTTTACAAAAGGGAACAAACAGTCTCCCATCCACACAGTGTGATACCAATTCCTCAGAGGTCAGACATGTTCCACATTCTTGAACCTATTTCTACCAAATTCTAACACCAGTCATCTGTCCTGTGGCTCTTATGGCTCTTCTGCTGGGTCTACCTAATTCATTGTAATGGCCACACAGAGCTCACTGATTATACTCACAATTATGGGGTTTATTTGGAAAGTTAACAGGTTACAATTTAGGTTGGAAACAGGATATAGTTCTTCAGTCAGGATAGCTTCTCAGGCATGCTCAAAGGCCCTTGGATCTCCAGCCTTTCAACTTTAGATCACTGTTATAAAGCTCTCTTAGTTCTGCCAGTTATGGTGTTCCACCTCCCTGCCTTGGCCCAAGTCCTCCAGAAAACCTGGATGAAGTTCCGTGACTCTGGCTCAGTGAGGCTCTGCCTCACATTGGTCTCTAGTTCACTGCTGATGCCACTGCTCTTGTCAACGCCCCTGTCTGACTGGCACAGAAATTTCTGCAGCCCCAGCAGGATGAATGTTGCATTCTCTGCTGCTTCTCTCTTGCTGATATCTAGAGTGTTCCATTCTCTATCTGTAGAATTGCTCAATTTAAACCAAGCAGGATGGCAACACTAACCAATCCCATCATTAATAGGATATATGCTTTGTTTGCATGTTACCAGCTAAAAGGTACTATTTTCCTGATTAACATAATTTGCATAACCCCACTCAGTCATGTGGTGAAATTCAAAGCCAATGGGCTAGGAAGGCCATTTTGAAAATCTGCCCACACCACAGTCCTCCAGAGACGTTCCACAGATATACACTCCCAACAAGCCTGTGTGCACTGGGATGCTCAGCACTGAATGCAACAATTAATATTTTTGTTAATGTGAGCAGAAGAAGACAGCATTTTAGTTTAATATCTCTGGCTATTGGAAACTTTTTAACTGGAAATTTGTTTTTCTCTCGGTTCACATTAGTTGTGTGTTTTGTTTTAGTTTTTAATATCAGGTAGAGTTATAGTAGATTTATACTTGCCCTTTTTTAGGTTTTAAACAATTTGAAC